CAGCAATATTCGTCTTTCTAGGGAATGCAAGTTTAGTTTCTTTAATCTATCTTGACAGGGAAGGTTTCTAAGTCCCTGAATCATTTTCGTCATTCTTCGCTGCACCGACTCGTGAATTGGTATCCATTCTACAATAAGGGCACCAGAACTTGCAGCATAATCGAGGTGCGGCCCGACTAGCGCAAGATATAATTGCAATATGACCTCCGCACTCTTATTACTTACACTTCTAGATATAAAACCTAATACTCTGTTTGCTTTATTTCAAACATTAACGAACTGTTTTCTAGGATGAAGGTCCGGGCTTACGAGTACCCCTAAATCTCTTTCACAAATTGACTTCTCTAGGTTGATGTTGTTAAGGCTGTATACATTGACAGTATTTGTTCTTACCTGTGCAATATAGAATCATATCAGCCTCAGCTGAAGAACCATCACCAAACACAAATCCATTTTCTGTTGCAGACACCACACCACGAACTTGACGAACATTAGGAGGTAACTCTGATGGTATTGGTATTGGATGGTTGTGTGATATTAGCACCTGAAGGGTAAATCAAATTAATGTTTGCACTACTTACATAACTCTATTCTATAAAAAAAATATTTCAAAATTTATCTGGGAAATCTGTTCCTGAAACTTGTCTAAGCTTCAGGTTCCATCAAGGACCCTAACACAAGCTGAAGGTATATCCACTAAAGGAGCTACAAAATAAAAAAAATCTGGAACTTGAAGTCTATGCAAGTCAGTAAATATAGATACATTAATAACTCCTGATAATTATTTTTTGTGGTGTTACATGTCACTGCTGATCCCAGGATCAAGATCATTTATGTAGATTATGAACAAGAGTAGACCCAGTACTGACCCCTGGGGAACCCCACTGGTTACACAGCCCCACTCACATTTAACACCATCTACGCTGACCCTCTATGTTCTATTGGCGAGCCATGATTTTATCCAATATAAAACTTTCCCCTCGATACCATGAGCCTTAACTTTTCTGAGAAGCCTCTTATGCGGTACTCTGTCAAACGCTTTGCTAAAGTCTAAGTAAATAACATCGTAATTTTTGTCATTATCTACTTCCTCGAAGACTTTCCTAAAAAATGTCAGTAGATTTGTTAGACAAGATTTTCCCTTGGTAAACCCATGTTGAGTCGTAGATTAATTTGATTTTATCTAAATGTGATCGGATGCTATTTGTTAAGCACTCCTGTCCTGGCACAACCCATGCCATTCAGCCGTATCTCACACTGAGACCACTCCTCCCAGAAGCAGAAATGCAGGAACAGTGAACCGGCCCTATTAAACACCAAGTTCCTCCCACTAACCTCGTGGGCTGGCAGATGCGTTGAAAGACTGCGAGGGGTTGAGATTTCCGGCCATGGCCAATAGTAACAGATGGTAAGTGAATGGGCATTAAAGATCTAAGATATGATGATTCAGCTTATGCTGGTTAATTGGCAGACTCATCCGTATCATAGTGCTGTAAGCCATCTAGTGGTACCTAATAGAGTGAATAAATTTTAAATAAATATTGAGTTAATTCCCAACTTTGTTGTTCTTCTTGTGTATGCAGAAAAAAAAGGCAATGTTTATATAGTTTTAGTTTACTTTCAAATACCTTCACACACTTTTTGTGCGCCAACTTTTAGCCACAGGAATTTACACAACACTAGACATATACCACTAACATATACAACCCTTTTAACAACACCTTAACAATATGTACCAACATGTGAAGAGGAAATCATTAATTTATATTACAAAAATGTCATAAATGTAAAGGTATTTTAAGGTGAAACACACAGGATCAAAACAACTTGAAAGGTTAATTTACCAAAGACCTAGGGGTAGCCAACTTCATGCTAAGAATTCTGCTTTGGACAAGTAAATTACCCCAATGATTTCTATAAACTAAGCATTAACACAATGTACCCAGAATAAAACTGCTGCATTATCAAGTGTGGAGAAAGGTTTTCTATATACAATTTGGAAATTTTTGTGTGATCCTGACAAAATACAGCAACAGCCAGATCATACAATATTATTGTATAAATGCGAAGTTTAACCCACTTACAACCATTCTCTCATATATATATATATATATATATATATATATATATATATATATATATATATATATATATATATATATATATATATATATATATATATATATATATATATATATATATATATATATATATATATATATATATATATATATATATATATAGTACAGTGAGTTCTGCTATAACGCGTGTTTTGATAACGCGAATTTGCTCTAACGCGATTTATGAATAGAGGAACGATATTTGTATAACGCGAACGCTTGTTTGCTGTAACGCGATTTTTGCTTACTATTTCTCCAATTTTGTGGTATTAACTGTGAATATGGTAAAGAAGAATATCTCCAAGAAGCGTTCTGGTGATCGCATTCCCGGTGATGATCGTAAAAGAAAGGCTATAACCCTTGAAGAGAAGCTCGATGTTATCAACCTCAAAATCACCCTTCTCCCCCATCAAGTTATATTCATATTTTTTCAAGGTAAAGTGTTACATTTACTGTATGATTTCATTATTAGATATGAATGTAACATTTATTTAGACTGTGCTATCCTTTGTGTTAGGCTAACTACTAAATTTTTTTCGATTTCGAGTAGTAATCTGCACCTAACCCTATTTTCTCCATAAGCCCTGTTATTTCTATTACGCGAATTTCTATAACACGATATTTTACAAGAACACAACTATCGCGTTATAGCAGAACTGACTGTATATGTATGTGTGTGTGTATATATATATATATATATATATATATATATATATATATATATATATATATATATATATATATATATATATATATATATATATATATATATATATATATATATATATATATATATATATATATATATATATATATATACACACACAGGTTGACAACCCTTTATCCGAAATTCCGAAAACCAAAAAGCTCCGAAAACCGAAAAAAAATTTGTGGAGCAAATTTTTTTTTTAACAGGGATTAGCCCACCCAGGCACAGATCACTGACCCACATCGGGGCCTGTGGGGCGAAAATGTAATAGTAATACTACAGGTAATTATAATAATAATAATTATTCATAGTAAATAAAAATTGTAATTAAAAAATACACCAAAATAAAATAATATTGATAACAATAATAATAAAATATAATAATAAAATTTATAATAAAAATAATAACAATAATACTGTATTAATAAAATAATAATAATAATAATAAAGAAATACAAGAATGAAAAAAGATAAAAAGTGAGAAACACGACCTAGGCCTATGAATTATTATTATAATTATTATTATATTTTCGCCCCCAGGCCCCAATGTGGGTCGGTGACTTGTGCCTGGGTGGGCTAATAAAAAAAAAAAAAAAAAAAAAAAAAAAAATTCTGAAAACAGAAAAATTCCAAAATCCGAAATGCCTCTGGCCCTAAGGATTTCGGACAAGGGATTGTCAATATATATATATATATATATATATATATATATTATTTTAGTGAAATTGTTTTGATGGGTGGAAGACAGGCTTGGATGGCAAAGAAAACATGATATAACATATTTGAATATATTCTAATAAGGCAGGAAAACTAGCAACTTTAATGAGAGAAATCAAAGGAGAAAGTTATCAATCCAGAGGGACAAGTCCTAGTGGTTGACCTCTGTAACCTACACTGCATACAAGTGACAATCTGTAAAAGTAGATTACCCAATAAACCAGAAAACCACACACAAATCAAATAATTTTTCTAATAGATATCATACTGACAGTCTTGGGTAAGTACTGTACAGTATATGGAATGTACAGAGGATATGGGATTACATATATCTATATATTTTTTTGTTTTTTAGAAAATTAAGTACAGTACAGTACTAAAATAATGAACATACTAAGGAATGTAATAAAAAGTTAAAAGCATAGGACTATATAAAAAAGGCAGCAGACATGGTGAGAGGATGGTGTTTAAGAGAACAATTTTATGGGGCACTGTGATGTGGGAATAACGCCCGGAGTTTTAATCAACATCTTCCATTGACGGGGATCATTGTGTCTACAAACAAAGTTTCAAATGCAAAGGACCCCACACTACAGCACATGACAGAGAGGGGCAGTGGAAAAATGAACCAATAACATTGGAACTTGAAGGTGTGGCTAGTAGCTGATCTTTGTTACCTTCTTCATTATTGTTTTGTTTGTTTTATTGGATATTTATAATAAATGCAATTTATGAACAAGGACAAACTTAATCTTAATTTTACATGCCTGTTTTTTTACATTAAAGATTTTAGACATTATTATGAAATTTTCAAGAGACTTGTGTTTTGTTTTACTGCCAAGAGCAAGCTTGTTCAGCTGTTGGTGTCATCTCATCATACAAACACTGGTACTAAACAGGTGAGCACATTTAAGATAATTTATTCAACATTTTAGCAGTTCTGTGAGTTTAATGTCTGGAAAATATAAACAGGCAATCAACTTTCCAGGCAAGAACTCTTAAAACGGATAGGGCCAAATTTCACTGGCAGGACATCATCACTAAACTTTATGCGACATATAAAGTAAGCACTTTTAAAATAAATAATTCAACTTTTCATCAGTTTTGTAAGCGAATTATCACCTGGAAAATTTATGAATTTTTTCACCGCCAATTACTGGTACAGGTGTACTAATAACTCCCATATTGATGGTCGTCCGTGTACAATCTCAAATTTGGCACCAGTGTTTTGTCACCTCCAGCATACTAACCATATGGGTGAGATGAACCATAATGCACCAGCGAAGGCGGAAAGGGCTTACCAACCCAATCCTCGATGGTCCCGCACAGAGGAAGAGCTTCGGGTGATTAAAACTACCGCTTGAAGGAAGGACTCCTACCTACGGGTTCTTTATTGAAGGAGGAGGAAGGGCAATTAAAACTCCGGGTGTAAGAGTCTCGGGGTGCTTGTTTGTGGGGAATAGTGATGAAGGAGGTTGGGTTCATACTGTGTAGGTTTTTTTTATTAATTCACTCTCTTGTGTGGAACAGGAAGCCCTATGGACCAATGCAAATAAGACGAAGTTAAAAAATTATACATTATGTAGATGGAGAACTCTTTAAAGCCTTTTAGATAATACCTACAAAACAAGGTATTGCCAGTTAATTATCCTAAAAATTTATAAAATTGTTGAAAATATTTCATTCCCATTACCCATTGGTTTAATCTAACTTAATTAGTACTTGTTCCTCTACCTATACACACTATACTCCTCATCAAATGCACTTCCTTATATCACATATAAGTTAATGACTCATAATGAACTGGTGTTCCCTATACATATAGCAACACTACTATCCTCTCATCAATACATTCCTAGGCAATATTATTATGACCATTGGAGACTGATAAGTAAAATCTGAAAATGAAAGTACATTCGAAAGCTAATAATATCCTTACAATATTTCTCTATTTGTCAATTTAATTCATTCTTAATATGCTTTTACTACTTAAATGGAAAATCATCATCAAAATTATTGTGTGAATCACCTTACATACTTTCACAAAGTGAAAATATTAGTATATTTATGCATAAAAAAAGCTTTGAGGAGTACTGTATTGTACAGTATAATATTCAAAATTATTAATGTAGGAGCATCTACTGTACTTTTTATGGTCCTTCATTAATCACACTGACTGACATTCATGCTAATAAAAGGAATGTTGACAACAGAGACCAGCACCTAGGCCTCTCTCTCTCTCTCTCTCGCCACTACTGATGACTTCTTAACGCATATCTTCAGCACTGTACAAACCCTGGAAAAAATAATATATGTACAGTATGTATAATTATATCCACCAATAAAAATGTACAAACTTCACTTCAAGTGGATTAAGTGATGATTTACACAAAATGCTACCCATATGAGACTAAATACTGTATATTTTACAATTTTAATGCATACTTGACCACTATAAACTTCAAGAAACAAAAGTAATGTATAATACTGCTACTACAACCTGACTGATGAATACAGGGAATGTACTGTATTCTTTAGGTAAGAGTAACTCTGTTAACTGGTATATAGTATTTGATTAACTTGTACTGTACCTCCCATTCTCCTCATGCCAGATAACAAAGGTTCTATTGTACAATGTACAATCCCCCCAAAAATTATCATTAGATTTTATGTCGCTACAATTTGAAATACTATACGAAATGCTTTGATATGATCCCCAGTGCATCATCATAAGTTGGTACGCCTGCTTGCCATATCAACAACAGCTAGATATGGGGGTAGGATTGGGGGAGGGAATCATCCTTGTATGGCATACTAGATACTTCAATACAGTGTAACAAGAAATCCATTTAACTATATTAATGTATGTATCATTAAAAAATTTATACTGTATACTCATTCATACTCAAAGGTCGTGGATTTTGAACTACAAACCGCCTAGAAACAGGTTAAGTAACATTGCTCGGAAGCCTCGAATCACATCGACCCCATGGCTAACAACACTCTTTTGGGGGACTGTAGATTAAATTCTGCTTAAAAAGATGAAATTAAGAAAAAAAAAAATCATATACTGTACACTATGCTGCTTATACATGAACATACCACAAACACCTAAAGTGATGGGCTTAAGGGAATTATTATGTTAGGGATATAAATTCTGAACACAGTCACCCAAATCTTCTCAAAATAATGAAAGATGCTAAATAAATACAGTATATGGTACTGGATACAAGTAGTCCTTACTATACACACTCCCATTATAAATAGTTTAATATACCTGTATATGCCATTTACATTTTGCAAACATGATTCGCTATGTGCCATGTATTTTTGCAGATACACGTTTCTTTCAAGTAGTGCCTAAGCCTCGATGGACCTCAGCAACTTTCACCAAACCAGGAACCTGTCCTTCATTTCAAGTGACTTTCTATTGTTGGTAATTTCAATACTGCACCTTGTTGTATAAACAAAATCCTTAAGATATTGTATTTTTTATTTATTTATTTTTTTAATAACCAGAATATGCCGAGATGCTGATATAGGCATCATGTAGTGTCCATATGTGAACTGATACTGACAGATTAATTTTCGGTAACTAAGGATTTTCTGTTTCCCCCTCTAAAGCTGATTAGAATATGTTAATAAAAAAAAGATGTCATAAATGGGATGATTGACCAACTACTGTACCTGTACTGCTCAGTTCATCACAAGCCCGTCTTATGTAAGGTATTCAATTACGGGTACTAAACATAGGAAAAAGAAAAGAAAGAATAAAGGAGAATATGCAATATCAACTCATTAACAAAGAAAAGCATGTTCTTACCTTGGCTCTGCGAAGCACAGAATCTTTAGTAGGATCATATGGATGATCCTTAGAGGGAATCTCTAAGACAGCTGGGAGAGGGTTATCATTGTCACTATCAATGACGTGACGGATTTGTTCTGCAATCTGACAGATGAAAATGGGAAAATTATATAATACTGTCCATTTTTCGAATGTCCTGTAGTAAGATTTGTACATAACATATTCCTGTGGTTTCATCATCATTATCCCTGGACGATTATTTTCCACACTTGTGTGGGTTAGTTGCGATTACCCAATGGCATGGTGTCCCGGGTCCAACTTGCAAATTTAAATTATGTTTTAAGACTAGAAACCTAACATTTCACTAAATCACTTTATGGAGTGGGAACTGGGCATTATGCATAGGATGTCTGAATGACCCATTAGCTGGCAAGGCAGAGTCGCTACTCCCTGAAATAAACAAAGATTATCTGCCTATCCAACATAAGTATCAATGAAGCATTGACATCAATATCATACCCATTCTGCTACGGATTGTACATGATGGATACCGTATTTGCCGGCGTATAAGACGCACCTCTATTTTTCAAGGATATTTTGTGGATTTTTTTTTTTTTTTGAGTAAGTTTCGTCAGACAATTATTGAAAGTGATTTTAAAGTGGTTTTGTCGAGTAAAACATATGATTTTGTGCATGTAAATACAATATACACTGGAATCAAGTCGGAAATCATATATAGTAACATTATACTAACCCAACTCAACCTGTGATCAGAGCAGCTGTGTGGCTTGTTTATATTTTGATCAAAAGAATTACCGACAGGATGTGACTCGCATTTTTAGCTGTGATGTTTTGTGTTGCCGCGAACTGCCACCAGGGTGTAACTCCATCGCTATTGTTTTGGAGTCATCGACTCATTGCAAATGGCTAACTGGCAGCTGAACTTTCTGTGAACATTTCTTTTATCTTTCTAGGGTCATTTTTCATTTAGATAATAAACAAATATTTCTTAAAGGTAATACAGTCCTTAAATAATGTAAGACGTGTATTTGGTGTGGGTTACGTATGCTGGGGAAGGAGGTACAGTGAGATATTGTGAGCTTCCCTCTGCTGTCAAGCCAATGTAAGCCATTATTTATGTCTTCGGCAAATTTGCCGTAAGTTTGAGATATAGTAATAGATTGTGATAATTTGGCTTGCTTTTCAGTATTTTATTACAGTGGTCCCTCGGTTAACGAACAGAATTTGTTCCAGAGGGTCGTTCGTTAACCGAAAATTTTGTAAACCGAATCCATCGTTTCAATGGGATATTGGGTAATTGCTTCCAGCTCACCGAAAAGTACATACAAAGTAAAAAAAAGAAAAAAAAAAAATGCAGTAAAGTACACTTACTTTGAGGTGTGTATGTAGAAGGTTCCTGGTTGATGATGATGGGAATTAGAAGTGGGGGTGGAAGAGAAGGGGACCCATGCTTGATGCCGTCATTTCACCAATAAAATTTTAATTTCACAAGGTGTAATTCAAGATTATTTTATTAAAATCAACACTGCACTGCGCTATATATTATCAATATGTTAACTAAATTTCAGAATGACCAATAATTTCAATTAAAAATGCAAAAATATTCAAGACACCAACAAAATAGATGTTCACTCCACTGTCAACAAAGCCCAACTGACGCCTTGTGGCCGAGTCAAGCGTATGATGGGCGCACAAAAAACGAGTTCCCTGTACAGTGATCCCTCGGTTAACGAATTACCTTCCATAAGAATCTTTAATTCGGTTAACGAATTCCTCTCAACATGTTTTCGCTTGCTCACCAGCTGGAATATAAGACCGCCAATACAGTAATCGGTTCTAGGGCTTAAATTCGTTCCCATTTGAGTAAATATCAAGAAGGTTGTACTATTCAATAATTTTTCAAGTTTTATAATAAAATTTTTAGTCATTTTAACAATTACTTAACATAATTGAAGTACAGGAAACAAGTTTTTAGTGCACCAAACAGCAACTTGACTCACCCAGCATGGCGTCAGTTTGTGTCTCTGCTCAACGGAGGTAACATCTTGCTTGAGACTCGCTTGAACATAAACTATTTTTTTACGTTTTTAACAGTACAATTACTGGTCATTCTGAAATTTATTTTACATATTGACAAAATATATAGTGTAGTGCAGTGTTGATTTAAAGAAAATAATCTTGAATTACACCTAGTGAACTTAAAATTTTATTGGTGAAATGACGGCATGAAGCATGGGGTGATTTCTCTTCCACCCCCACTTCCTTCTCTTCTCCCTTCTCCTCCACCCCCACTTCTAATTCCCATCATCATCAACCAGGAGCCTTCTACATACACACCTCAAAGTAAGTGTACTTTACTGCATTTATTTTTACTTTGTATGTAATTTTCGGTGAGCTGGAACCAATTACCCAAAATCCTATTGAAACAATGGTTTCAGTTAACAAACCACCTTCTGGAATAAATTGTGTTCGTTAACCGAGGGACCACTGTACTGCATATATTATCAATATGTTAAATAAATGTTAAAATGACTAATAATTTTAATATAAAAAATGCAAAAATATTAAAGAGCACAACTTTCTTGACATTTACTTCACTGGAAACGAATTTAAACATAGAACAGATTACTGAATTGGCAGACTAGCCCATTAGCTGATGCCCACAACAAAACATGATGTTCGTAAGGATTTCGTTAATCAAATTTTTGTTCACTAACCGAATTGCAGATTCTGATGTAAGGCAATTCGTTAACCAAAATTTCGTTAACCGAACCATTCGTTAACCGAGGGACCACTGTACAGTGGGGTATGCTATAACGAACGCAACTCCTACAACGAACGCGGATGAATACGGGACTATTTCGCCTGGCGCATGAATATTGTTGTACCGCGACCCACAACAAGAGCGTCAGGCGCCATGTTTTTCTCATTGTGTAGCCAGTGCACCACTGTTATTGTTGAAATTTCGTCTTTTAATGTGGAAATTCGCGTTATTTGTATAACTATTTTGTTGTACAAGTATACAATTGTAACAATGAATCGTCCAAAGCGAGTGGGAAAGCTAATAACCCTTGAAACTAAGAAAGAAATTATAAAGAAACGTGAAAATGGAAGAAGCATTGCGAAACTTAGTGATGAACATGGGATGGCTAAATCGACTATATGTACGATTTTGAAGAATAAAGGGGAGTTAAAAACAGTGCAAGTGGCTAAGGGAATCTCTAGACTTAGCAAAGCAAGGTGTAATGTGATTGAAGAGATGGAAAATTTACTCTTAGTGTGGATAAAGGAGAAAGAAATGGCAGGTGGTAACATTAGTGAAGCTATAATTTGTGAGAAGGCTAAACAATTGTTTGAGGACCTTAAAGCCAAGACTCCCAGTGGAAGTGATAGTGCTGTGCCAGTGTTTAGGGGTACCTGCATGCTGAATAACACTAAGGTAAGATAAAGTTCCGTATTTTTTACATTTTCCACAGAATTTTTTCAGTGTTAAGTGGTTGTATTTGGGGGCCTGGAACGGATTAATCCTATAACGAACGAATGCTATAACGAACGAGGTTCTGGAACCAATTACGTTCGTTATAGCATACCCCACTGTATTAGGAATATTATTAGTAACAAAATTTTTGTGCTTAGTGGACTCCCTAGCTAGGCATCTCCGCCTATGGCGTTTGGCCTCCCATCCATAATGCACATTAGACACAAGGTAATTTGTGATACACACACAAAAAAGCATCTTACACACTGGCAAATACGGGATTTTTTTTTATATGGATTGACCTGGGACCCATCAGGTTCCCAATGGCCATTGAAAATAAATCAGTCACAATCATGACCCAAGTCTATGTGACAAAGATTGTGGTCATTAAAATCTCATGCCTACAAGTTTGTATGGTTTCTTGTGTACAGTCATAATGATATGGTTTTAAAATCAGTTTGGATACATTTACACAACTGCACTATTTAACAATCTGTTTTTACATCTTTTTTTTTCTGAATCTTGTCATTTAAATTTAAGCTTTCTCAAACTTTCCTGTTTTTCTATTCATTTCAGTCAGTACATTATTTGATTTATCAATCTACATATTTTTACCTTGTAGTACTGTACTGTACAAGTATGGGTGATATCTACCTTATTTACATGATAGCTATGATAATTTACAGAGGTCTTCAGAAAAATTTTTACAGGCTTAAATTTGACATATCAGAAATTTCAAGAGATATCTGCTAACAAAATATTAGGTGAAAATTCACATTTTAATTAAGAAAACCTTTGTCTTCATACACAGAGTTAAATGATAGACAGTATGCAGCACACCTGTTAGCCTTGTTCACCAACAAGAATACTACAACTGCAACATGATGTAACACATAGGTAACAAAATATCCATTTCAGGAATTTCCAAATTTGTATTATTCTAATTTGGACCATAATTTCCAACTCTGCATCATAAGCAGTGCTGACATTACAAAACAAAAGCATAACTTTTGTATCATTACCTATTATAGTTGTGTGGCTGCACTCATCTTTTTATCTCCAAGCACTATCTTTCCTACTTCCTACAGTGGCTTCTGCACCCCTTCAGGCACAAAGAGGAAGTAAAAAACCTACACTGGCAGTTTAGTGTTGGTCACATGGGTCATATTTTTCTAACCCACCAATTTGACCAGAACTGATGTGGTAATCCAATACTGAGCAGTGGTCTCTTATTAGAAATCATAATGAAGGCAAAAAATAATGAATTTATCAATGTAAAGCATGCCCTTAAAATTCGAGGGGGTTACGTTCTCAAAATGGCCGCAAAGAGCCAAATCCAAGAATAACATTTACTGACCGGGTGGTGGGAGTGGGTGGGGGGTTACATTTTTGCTTGTGTGCAAGGAAATGTATATTCCCTTTATGTTTGCCCTTAGGACAATTATTTCTTCTACCTGTACAGGGGGGCCCCCCTAAGTATGCAGATTTATATTTCACAGTCCTCTATTATTTGCAGATGACACCCTGGATGTACCCAAGAATGTCTATGGGTACCGGTAGTTTTAAAGTTGCAGAAATATTTGCGGCTGGGACAGTGAGCTATTCGTTATAGAGACAGTAATTTCCTTTCCCTGTATTGGAAATGTGTGTGTGTGCGTGTAGACATAAACACACACACACAAAACATCTACAAATAAATAACAATGGGAAAATACTCTCACAAATAATCAAACAAATTTATTAAAAATGTGATAGTCTACCCTCAAGTTCGTGCTTTATTACTTTATTAATAAAGCACGGACTTGAGGGTAGACTCACATTTTTAATAATTTTTTTTTATTATTTGTAAGAGTATTTTCCCACTATTATATATTTGTATGTGTTTTGTGTGTGTGTGTCTACACACACACACACACACACACACACACACCATTGTAAAAATTATCAATAACTTGTAATAAACCAGTGTATTCACTCCCAGTAAACACTACTCCTTGCACTGTCACTATGTTGAAATGAACTGTAGTTTGAGCTTTTCCCCATCTAGTTATTATATATCTTATTTGTATCACTTGTGTTACTTGTATATTATTTGTAATTCGAAACCCATTCCCCAAATATGTAACTGTATATTTTCAGCCTTCTGGCTGCCAAGCTCTTTCAATAAACCGTTAATTATTATTATTATTATTATTATTATTATTACACACACATATACAGGTACAATACAGGTAAAAGAAATAATTGTCCTATGGGCAAACACAATATAGAATATACATTTCTTTGCATACAAGTAAAAATTATACTGTATACGTACTACAATGCCAGCACATGTGTCCATCTAAAAATCTTTATGTTCACTTGACGTCTGCAGTACGCCGAGCTAGCAATTCACTTTAACCCTTAAGGCCTGGGTGACATTCCAGAATGCGTGCCTTTTCCCGCCACTGTTTAAATGCCCAGCGCGGGTTATCAGGTTCCAGTGTGACTATTTGCCTGTCACGCCACACGCTCGGCCACAGGAAAGTTTCCTGAACATAATTAACCTACTGTACTTTTGTTTGTTTCATTTTCATTGTTTGTCCATTTTATCATGTTATATCCAAGTAATATTGCTAAAAGTAGTGTAGTTGTATTGTAGTGTAGCATTACCGGAAATTAATGCTATGATTATGTTATAAATGTATTTATTTGTGGAATTATCATTATTTTATGCATTACTTGCTCTACCAAACACAAAGACAGCCAGACAGCCTGGTGACTGACTGTGTGTGTGTGTTGCCGAGCACTTTATATGAAAAATAATGCAAATAAAATATTCTAAATGATTTATTTATAGGAAATAAGTATTATGATCAGTAAATATATGCATTATTGGCCATCCAAGACAAAAAGGCAAGCAGAAAATGGCCGCTAAGTGCGCAGTGACCACGAGTGTTCGCTGTCAAAAGAACACTGTCCCCTTATCTCCCTCGCCACTGCTGCCACAGGGAAGTTTCTAGATGGTTAATGTATAGTTTTTTTTTTACTTCTCTTTGCTTGTTTTATCATTTAAAAAGGTTAAAAATTATTTTTGGAAAAGTTTAGATTTTTCTCCATTTATCCGTGTGGGGGACGGCCAGCGGCACCCTAGCCTGGGGCTAGGGTATTAACTAACTTAAGAAATTAAGTCACTAGCTTTATTTCTTTAATGTTAAATAAATAATTTCACATACAGATGCAGTTCCGTTACATACATGTAGACTCCTGATGGCCAAATTTATGCAAATCTATATCAAAATATTTATTATATTTATGTCTATTGCTAGGAGCTACAAGTTGTTAATCTTTCATGCGAATATTTTATCTGAAAAATCTGTTCCAACATACTATTGTGCGTACAGACTAAAGGATTATCATACTCACATTTTGATTTATCAGAATGATGTCTATGTCATCTCTCTTCATAAATTTCTTGTAACATTCCTCAATTTCTTGAACACTAGTGTCTGGAAAAATATTAAAACAGATGATAATAATAATAATAATTACTGTACAGTACTGTATACACAAATATACTTAATTGAAAAGGTTAAAAGTTTATAAGTGGAGCAGCACAAAATATTCGTAACTTGCACCATATACAGTGGTCCCTCGGTTAACGAACGGTTCGATTATCAAAATTTAATTAACGAATTAGCTCCCATAAGGATTATCAGTGCGATTAACAAAATCCTTACGACAAACACGTTTTGTTGTGCGCATCAACTGATCAGCTAGTCCGCCAATACAGTAATTGGTTCTATGTTTACATTCGTTTCCAGTGGGGTAAATATCAAGAAAGTTGGTCTCTTGAATATTTCTGCATTTTTTATATTAAAATTATTGGTCATTCTGAAATTTAGTTAACATATTGATAGTAAAGACAGTACTGTACAGGGAACAGTTTTTGTGCACCCATCAGCTGATTGAATCACCCAACAACGTTTCTCAGTTTAACTTTGTTTACAGAGGAGTGAACATCGATTTTGTTGGTCTCTTGAATATTTTTTGCATTTTTACATTAAAATTATTGGTCATTCTGAAATTTAGTTAACATATTGATAATATACAGAGCAGAAATTATTATGAAACACGAAGAAGGCATTAGAACCAATACACACTGTAAAGAATATGGCATGTCATCATCGACTGCCTCTACAATCAGCTGTTTGATATGTAAACAAAGCTGCCGGTAATACGATATACACACCTCAAAGTAAGTTAAAATACAGTATTCTATTGTTTATCTTATTTATTATTGTACAGAATACTGTACAGTACAGTATTTAGTTTATTTTAATGTTTTGTTAATTCTATTACCAGTATACAGAACTTTGTATGTATACTTTTTCTGCGACTTGGAACCAATTACCCAATATCCCATTGAAATAATAGATTCGGTTAAAAAAAATTTCGGTTAACGAACGACTCTGTGGAACTGTAGTGATGGGTTGTCAGACCACAGCTTACATCTCAGAAACAGTCAAGACATGACCCGACATTATGGGGGTCAAGTGTAAGGGTACCCCTCACATCCGCTCAAGGGGGTTACAAATCAACCAGCTCCCCTCCACATGTCACACGGCCCCAACAAATATGTAAGAGACACACAGTCAGAAGGAGCCACCTGCCGACCCTCCCCCAATTTACACAATAACCTACAGTACATCTCAGACAAGGTTCAGACCTGACCTCACATTAGCCAGGTCAAATGTAAAGGGACCCCTCGCAGCCCAAGCCAAGGGGCCACAAATCAACCAGCACCTCTCTCGTCACACGGCCACACCAACGATGTTAACAGGCTAGCATTCATCAGAAGATTCTTCCAAAATATACAACAACTTATAGCTCCGAAAAAGTCCAGACCTGACCTTACATTAGCGAGGTCAAATGTAAGGAGACCCTTCGCCGCCCCCCCGATCAGCTCAACCTGACGGCTCGTCTTCCAATATATAGGACGTCGTAGCCCTCCCTCACGAGAGTGTATTGTAACCAAGAAGGGCCAGCAACAACGTCCCCATTCCCGGTCGAGAGAAGTCCGCCACTAAGTTTGACGAGGCCTCAGCCGGGTCCATCGACAGAGTGCTGTCAACTCAACGTGTAACAGTAAGTGCTGGTTGTGTAGACAGTAGAAGGGCGGTGATCCCGAACCTCCCCAACGATCGACTTAGTGAAGTGCCCATTCTAATTGTGAGGTTAGGTTATACGAGAATACCATAGTCTATCATAAATTGTGTACGAACCCCCATTAATTCCCCCTATTGAACTAGTAAAATAAAGCTGTAACACGCATTGGTGTTTTATATACTACACTTGTACTGTGCCTGTGTTAATATACAGTGTTAGCATCACACCCTCGAGACACGATACCATTTCCTCTCACTATAATACTCTACTACTATAAACTCCTAGCTTACCTCTTCATATGGGATTTTGTCTCATTATAATGGTGGCAGTGCACTTAACGTAAAACTCACGCCTCTTCCCCTTAGTGGTCAGTACAGTGATGGTTAGAATCTTTTGAAGTAAACTGGTAACTATCTTGACGAAGCAGGCAGTACAAGGGTGGTAGCATTCGTAATATAATTCCTGTCCCTCAGTGTGGTACAAGTGGTCATTCCCTAGTGACAATTATCCACTCCCCCCTCCCTGGTTCACATATTGTTGGGTAGTGGGAACAATGGTCTAGAACTCAACCAGGGCAAGTGTCAGTAAACTCTCCTCCTCGTTCCACCCACAGACGTCATCGTCAACATTGACAGTTTCAACTTCCACGATCAGCATGTCCCAGCCCTCCTCGCAAGCTAATATGACTTCTGTTAACACTACACCAGTGACTTCCGTTTTATTCCCGTTCCCTGAACAATCCACTAGTACCTACTCTTCCCCCCCTACCCCTTAACCGCCCTGCACCCTCTCTCGCCACTTCCCTCCCCATGCTCGCGTGCTCCTTAGTACCTCCCAACTCCTCCAGCATGCCAGATTCCTTCCTTACGACCATCTCAGCTCATAGTGCAGCACAATTGGTCAGTCAGATACCCATGTTTGAGGGCGATGGCCGTTACCCTGCGACATCAGCCGATAGGCTGGAACAGTGGTTAGGAAACATTGAAAATGCATTCCCGGAAACCCTTCAGGAATACGAGGAATGCCGCCTCAGGACGGCACGTATGTGATTGGGCGGCGACGCGAAAGGTGCTAGGATTTAATCCGACAGTAAAGAATGCTACCGCGTGGGACACGTTCGCGAACGGATTACGGGAAATTTACAGCCAGGGTAACATATTACAAGATCACACGCTTCGCTTAGCTAATATCAAGCCAGAGGAGTGTTCATCTTTAAATGTTTACCATCATGCATAGATAGTGCTGTGAAGATGGCGAGAGTCAATCACCCACAATTCTTCCTACCTGAGCTATTACTCTCTTACTTTCTATCGGGCTTACCCGGCGAGATGCGTACGTTCATGGTGTCGAGCGGGATAACTACGATAGAGAGCACAATTAAAGCGGCGCGGACGTACATACAGCTCAGGAAACTCACTCCCTTCTCCCATTTTGTGTCGACAATTCATGCCGCCCCTCCCACCCCTGCACGTAACACCCCTTCTGTCTGGGAGGATGAATTCTTGCGACTGATGGTGGAGAATCTCAGCCGGGATGAAAGGAAGCGACAGGAACAATCACCGTTTCACGAGGAAGGGCGGGAGCAATCACGGTTACATACATTAGGTATAAACACGTTGGATTACGCGCCACGGGGCGACCGGCCGTCCGGGGCAGGGACCCATGGGGCGTGGGCTGGGATTGACCCCCGCCCTCGTGCAGTCACAAATGCGCGACCGGGCCTGCCCATGCGGGATAGCTGGTATAGATCTCCGAAGCCTTTTCGCTGCTCCTCCTATGGGACATGGTCCCACGCGGTACACGGATGTCCCTTCCAGTGTGAGGAAAACCAGTACGATGGGTGTGGCGACCAGGGACATACCCGCAGAGTGTGTCCATACGCCGGAATGCGTTGTTGCGCATGTGCCGAGTGGGGGACACATTCGCAGGTTATGTCCCTACTACTAAAGACAAGGGCGAGGCATTAGTGACTAGGGAAGACAGGCCAATTATTAAGTTGAAAATGTGAGGGAAACGGGTTGAAGCTTTCACTGATACAGGCTCCTCTCTGTCCTTAGTGAAACAGAACGTGGCCTCCAAGATGAGCTTAGGGGGAAAGCATAGAGTTCCTGAGTTACGTGGCGTCACAGGTAACCGCCTCTCAACATTGGATTCCAGAGATATAACTGTAGACTTAGGAGATAAGATGGTTGTTCACTAGCTGGTTGTGGTAAGCGGTGATCTTTTCCTAGGGGATGTTCTTATTGGGTCAGATTTCTTGTGTAGGTTTAAGTATGGAATCCAGTTTGATGGGAGCCGGTATACCGTGACACTAGATGGTAGAGATTATAGAGGTACTCCTATTAGGAATAGGTCTGGTCTGCCCGTCCACCTCATTAAGCCTAAACGCCCCCAGCCCCCCGCACCCCAGGCCCCCCAGCTACACCCTACGTGTGTCACTGTCATCCCTCCCCACTCTAGTGTTGTTCTGCCCGTTCGATGGTCAAGGTCGTTCGACAGTTCCACAGACAATCAGGAGTATGTATTTGTTGAAACCCCGAATAAAATGTCCCCATACGTGCAGCCGGGGCTCATTAACACTCAGCAGCCTAGCGTCCCAGTCATAAACCCCACCCCCAGGGGATTTAAACTTACTCCTGGTCATTCAGTGGGAACAGTCTGTGCGGTCGATAAAGTAGAAGATCTGGAGCATTTTGATTCTACGAGATATAACATTAGGAGTGACACAGAGTTCGTAGACTCACAGCAAATGTTTGCCACTGCATTAGAATCCCTTGACATAGATCACCTACCCACCCTTATTAAAGAACGTCTAAGCTCTATAATAAAGCAGCATAAAGACCTGTTTGCAACTTCAGATCAGGACCTCGGCCTGATGTCAGCTTCACACAAAATTAATACCGGCTCCGCCCCCCCCCACCAGAGTACGGCAGTGGCGGCTTCCTGAGGCGGCTAAAACTCAAATCAGGGACTTATGCCGCCAAATGGAGGAACGTGGCGTCATCTCCCCTTGCACTAGCCCCTATTGCTCCCCGGTCGTATTAGTCAGAAAAAACGACGGGTCAACTAGATTCTGTGTGGACTATAGGGAACCTAATAAGAACACCATTGCTGATAGCTATCCTTTGCCCAGAATTGACGAGACACTGGACCAATTGAACGGAGCTACTATATTCACAGTTCTAGACTGTAAGGATGCGTACGGGAGTATACCTGTTGACCCGGCGGACCGCCCCAAAACTGCTTTTGCGGACAGCAGCCGTCTATTTTGTTTCAATGGGTTACCTTTCGGGCTAATGGTAGCACCAGCCACGTTCATGAGGGCGGTGAACCACAGTCT